ACGTATATTTTGTTTTAACTTGAATTATTGTTATCTTTCAACATTTATTATTATCTTTTCAGTTATTGTATTCTTTTTATTTAATTTTAGAATATATATGATTTTCATGCATTTATTTCTAAGGTTAGGTTGAGGTTTATAAATAGCACATCAACTCATTTGATTTGTACACACATTTGATTGAATAAGAATTACTATTATCTTGCATCTCTTCTGAATTTTCTCTTCTCTCTATTCTCTCTATTGATCCCGTTCTCCTTTTCCTATATTCTCTCTCCCTTCTCCTTCCCCGTTCTGCATCACTAAGACGACGAGATAAGAATTGATGATCCAAATCAAATTTAAACTTCTTTTTATTTTTTTCTTTTCCTTTTCACAAATAATGTTTATGAACGATAGTTGATGAGAGTTGATTGATATTGAGTATAGTAAATCAGGAAAATACATGAAAGATGGTAAAAGAAAGTAAATCTCATTGATCAAAAAAAATTTAAAAGGCATGAAAAAGTACAATAAATATAAAAGGATAATCAGATGGAGCTAATGCTAACAATCAAGAAAATTTAAAAATTGGATTGCTTTTAGATCAATGTTCTCGTGAAAGTAGACTAAAAATACATAAAAATAAAAAAAATTAAATTAAATATCATTGATCAAGAAAATTTAAAAGGCATGAAAAAGTACAGCGATTTGGAAGGATAGCCAAATAGAGTTGATGCTAATAATTAGAGAAATTTAAAAATGGGACTGCTTTTGAATAAATACTCTCGTGAAAGTAAATTGAAAATACATTTAAAAATAAAAGAATAAATTAAATCTCATTAATGAAGCAGGAAAAATTTTCATATTAAAATTAGTCTAAAATCTATTAACTAATGATAGTTTTTTTTTTTAAAATGGGACTGCTCTTGAATTAATGCTCCTATAAAAGTAAACTAAAAATATATAAAAAATAAAAAATAAATTAAATCTCATTTAAATGCACCCTGAAAGTAGACTAAAAATACATAAAAAAATAAAAAATAAATTAAATCTCATTAATGAATTAAGATAAATTTTTATATTAACATTAACCTAAAATTTATAAGTCAATTTTTTTTTTATCAATCAGTTGAAGCTATAAAATTTGTATGTCTATATATTGATATTGATGATTGACGATGATTATAAAATAATATAATTTTCAAGTGGCTAACATGATACAATATTGTTTTAGAAAAATGACAATAGACCACGAAGACAACATCACAAGAGACTATCATGGTTTAGGCATCGAAGATAAGATGGAAATAATGGAATTGACTGACAATGCAACATTAAAAAAGTGTTATAAAAATGTATATAAGCAACACTATATAAAAAAATTACAAAAGAAGAAACACGAAGTACCGATCTTGATAAAAAAGTGCAGGTTCATCGAAAATTACCCGTTGAGAGAAAATTAAAGCCCCCCAGACATTTTCGCTATGGACAGAGTCGCACCAAAAAGATAAAACCACTTTCTCGTGCTCTGGGATGCCACCGATGATGCTATCCCCAACTTACTCATTCTATGTGATATACTATATTCTTGACAATTATTTTATTTTATTTTTTTCACCATGATATCTCGAAAAACCTAAAATTTTATTACTTTTTACCTAAACTAATCCAAGTTCCTGTTGCATGAGACATATTTATTTAATCAAAAATATGACTGTATAACTTATAATTTGAATTCAAAGTTTTAAAATAAGCTGATTCAGTTTAGTTGATCAGCTAAACCAAGCTCCCTCGGTTCTGGACAAATCTTATTCTGATTTTTTTAAGATTTTTTAAAATGTTTGATTGCCCTTTGTCTACAAAAAAAAAAAAAAAAATTCCTTATTTGGGCAACCTTTGAACTTTTCTTTACATATTGATTTGCTGGTTTCTGGGGCCTGAAATAGAGGATAAGTTTATACTACGTGGGCCTTTTAGTTCCTATTACTTCATTCTGGGCCTTGATTAGGCCCGATTAAAAATCATAGTGCTTTAGAAAAGAAAGCAGTCATTGCACCTTAAAGAAAGTGGTTCATTTCATAAATTCTTTACCCAAAAAAAAAAAAAAATCATGAATTAGTCTATATAAAAATATGCTTCGGTTCCCCCCCCCCCCAAAAAAAAGAAGCTTCGGTTTGGTTCTACGGTGATTGGCTTAAATTTAGAATTACAATGATCTGTCAGTCACATTATTCATCATAATATGTTTGAAGTAGAAGAATATAATGTTTTAATCTTTTGTTTAACTTAATAGCAAAAAGAGAAGACCCAATAAAATATAGCTTGAGTCATATGCCTAAATATAGCTTGAGTCATATGCCTTGCCGGAAGTGTGAAAAATGAATTGTATTGTTTATGATTTATCAAGAGTGAATTTTATTTGTAGATTTAGGGGGAAAAAAAATATAACATATAGCTCTCGAGTAATTAGAAATTGCAGGAGAACTGGTAACGATTAATCAAATATACGATTTAGGGTTAAAGTGGGAATTTTATTACAAATTAAAAAACATTGAAAAATCCTTCTAATTGAACCAGATCAATTATCATTAAAATCCTTTCTCCTTACCTCTCTCTCCTCAAACCCAGCAAAGGGGTTTAAGTTATAATGTTTGATTTATTGTTTTGTTCTAACTATAACCTAATTCAACTACGTTCTATAAACCAATTTCTTGGGGCGAATTATACACTTGTCATCACTCCAACATATCATTAGTGTTTGTACCTAGTACCTCCCTTTCCTAATATTGACCGTTCGATCGGTTTAGGTATGAGCGAGGAAGGGAGGGAGAAGATTGGTTCATTTTTAAATCATTTCAAAAGCTCCTTTTCTCACTGGAATGTATAAAATAGTAACACTTATTTTTGATTTCATGCATGATACACAAGGAAGCGTTTGTAATTATTTTATTCGTGAGGAGCACCGCATTCTTTCCTTGTCAAATTTTTACAGATTCCATGGATGCTGTAAACTACATTTATAGAGGCGTTAATCAAACCTATCTTTTTTTGGAAGACATTTTTGAGGTTCAAGCAACTTTGTGTTCTCATGAAGGATATAAACTTTTATATGCTCCTGCTGAACAGATGACCTGTGCAGACTTTTTAGTAAAGATAGCTCATGATTTTAACAGGAATTTTGTTTTTCTTAAAAATATTCTTATTAGTTGTGAGGTGCTTATTTTGTCTGACTATAACGAGGATATGTCCTATTGATTCCTAACAAACTTGAGTTTTCTTTTGTTTTACTAGCTCCTGCTAGTCTAGTTTGACGAGGGAATTTTTTTTTTTCTTCCATTCACTATTTTTTATTAACACTATGCCTTCGGGAATATACAATAAAATTAAAATGATTCATAATTTTTATAATGTATTAACATACTTATTTCATTTTTTTATCACTGTATGCAATATAAAATTTTTAATAAATTGTAATTTTCATGGGATATAAACAATGTTACTTATTTTTCAGGTTCTGTGCAATATACAGGAGTCATACTATAATTACATGTTAAAAGCATAGCTAATCACCTCATGAATCATAAATTTAACGGGAGAACAAGTGATTTATCCTGTAAATCATTTTATAATACATACTAATCCATCCCAAACAATGTGGTACAATAAAATGGTGCACATCGTAATGTGGACATATTTAAAATAGATAATACTCCTCCTGCCTTAGTAACTTAAACAAGACAATTTTTTTTTTAAAATTATATATATTCATTAAATACAATTTACAATTGTAAAATTTTTTATAATTTTTTAAAATATCCCTTATTATTAAGAGAGTGAGGAAAATTTATTTAAAATAATAAAATTTAATGTTAAAATAATTACTCCATCCGTTCAAAAATATAAGGTATTTTTTGAGAGATTGAATGTTAAAAAATGTAAGATATTTTTAGTCTTTTAAGATGTAATTATTGTCTTTTTTTTAAAAGTACCTTTATTGATAATGATTTCATATTTATTGTAGAGTGTTTAATAGGAATAAATATAAAAAAATAGGGTTAGTTTAAAAATAAATAACTACTTTTTGGAGATAAAATTTAGTTTAAAATGTCTTAAATTTTTAAACGAAGAGAGTATTATTAATAATTTTTTAACAAGATATCTAATATTTTAAAATACTAAATCATTTTTAAAATATTTTAAAAATGAGACGGGAGTAGTATATGATAATTTGGAATTTTATTCTACTAGAAAAGAACTTAGTCCAACATTGGGCCCACAGTCAGTAACCCTGAAGCAGAACAGTACAGAGTGCGGACTCAAACTTCGCGTGTTCACTGTCCAAGTCTTGCTCTTTTTATTTTGTTGTGTCAGAAAAAACCACCCTCGTTCCTGTACCGTTTTCTTTTTCTTTTTGGACCAACTCATTCCTCTGCCGTTGGACCTCTTTAATTTGTGTACCCGTGAACGTGTTCGTTCCCGAATATAATGGCTCCATAATTTTTAAAGCCTCCAATACTATTTCCAAATTTCTTCTTCTCAAAGCACATCTTGTGCTTCTCATTTAACTCTTTTCCTTATCATGGTTTCCGGCCCTCCCATGTAGCTAATTCCTTAATCAGCAACAAAGGAACGTGGTGTTTAGTTTCTTTTACATTAAACGTGAAAACGAAAATGCTTAGCTTAAAGACGACAGTAATGAGAAACTGCTTTCTTCCCCCCAATGGCAAGGCCGCGTTATATACGTGCGCCATGATACTGACTTTCACATGGGTGATGGATGATACTTGCCGCAACTACAAAGGAATTATACGCACACACACATGTATGTATGTATGCATGTATGAAATCAGACGTTGTGTGAACGCTCCCAGTGCATTGACTGGTTCTCTCGTCCCTTTGCTTTTTCTTCCTATTCACATTAAACAATTAAAAAAAAAACGAAAAGAAACGGGCTATTATTGTCAGTCAGTCAGTCAGACGAAGTCAAGCTTCCACCCCATTAGCGTTTTATATATTCCCACCTCTCTCTCTCTCCCTCATCACTCTCTCTCTCTCTCTCTGGTTGTTCATCACATTCAGTTCAGTTTCAGTCAGTAGCCATGGGAAGAGCTCCGTGTTGCGACAAAGCAAACGTGAAAAGAGGACCATGGTCTCCTGAAGAAGACGCCACCCTCAAGAGCTACCTCCACAAACATGGCACCGGTGGAAATTGGATCGCTCTCCCCAAAAAAGCTGGTACTTCACTGATCACGTGTCTATTCTTTGTCCCCCACCGATCTCCATGAGATGATACCATCTTTTCTGATATTATCCTTTCACTGCTTTTTTATAGGTCTTAAGCGTTGCGGGAAGAGCTGTCGTCTGAGATGGCTCAACTATCTCAGGCCTCATATAAGGCTTGGAGGTTTCACTGACGACGAAGACAAAATTATCTGCACTCTCTATGCTGCCCTCGGAAGCAGGCAAAACCATAGCACGTACTTTACGTTTCTTGCTACAATAATAGCGATTTATTATGTGAATATGTTCCGTTTTTTTGACATCCAGGTGGTCTCTTATAGCTGCTCAGTTGCCTGGAAGAACGGACAACGATGTGAAAAACCACTGGAACACAAAATTGAAGAAGAAGTTTTTTGCAGCAAACAGTTGTAATGGCACCGTCAGCAATATTCGCGAGAGCAATAGTGCTAGTTATGTACCCTTGTCATTTTTCCCCCTCAAACACCTCAAGGCGATGCCTTTTTGCAAGGTCACAAGGAGTCAGAGTATTTTGAGCCTTGTGTTCAGGAGTTGGAGCAAAATAAAGCTCCAATTTTAGGACAAAAACCTCTGAAACCTCAAGTTTCAGATGTTGACAGCCGTTTCATGATGAGTGACAGCTGTGGGATGCCATGTTCTTTGGGAGTTTCATCTTCTTCAGGTTGCTTAGCAGAAAAGAACCGTCATGCCAAGTGGGTTGGATTTGAGCGTGATGATCAAGATGATGCAAGTATGAGTGATTTTGTGTGTGATGATGATCTCTTCGATGGCTTTGCTTATTATGACCAATGCCTCATCAACGACGACTGCTTCCCAAATTAATAGCCAGATTACCCAAATTAAAGGGGATGCGTTTAGTTTACTAGGTACTCAACAGCGTAAAACTGGTGTTTCCAACATTAAATGTACATTCCGAAGAAAATGGAAAAAAAGAGTATTATTGTAAGCGAGTAAATTTTAGTGACGATCGAGTTCTATTTCTAATTCATAATATTGTTTGAGATGTTCAAACACTGTATCTTCCTATTTGTAGTAGTTATTAGTTTGCTTATATAACAGCACGGGGCTCTCGGCACTCATGCTTTCATGAATGTGAACGTAGCTAGCTAGTCGATCGGCAAACTTTTGTTGGCTTCTTTCAAGTCAGTTGTGTTGAAAGTTTCTTCGGGTTTGATGAGCGAATTAGAAAAGATGCCCACATATATATTGCAAAATTCAGACTTGCGTTACTACATGTGAAATGATGTTCCTCTATTTAAGTGCATACAAAGTAGGCCTACTTTATGAGATTCAGATATCTTATATCAGTATTTCTTCTGTACTTATCTCTTTTTGAATATATTAGCTGGTTATATACATCTGATTTTTATAAATGTAAAAGATCCGAATGACAACTACTCAGGTGCTGGAATGATAGCAGAATGAAAGTTTATATTTATGACAGAACAATATGCGTAATGGTAATTTATAAAGTTTATATTTACTTACGAGGCATATAAACGTTTTTAGACTCCATTAGCGGCCTCCGCATGTTAGCTTAATCGTACTTTATCAATCATAAGAAAAAAAGTGAAAGATGCATATGCGAGGAGTGTATTGTGATCATCGGAGCAAACCCTATAATTAATTAAGTTTATCTAATTGATCAACAGACAAATAATAAAGACCAATGTGAGTAGTGTCATCTTTTGACAGCTATTTAGCTTAAAAGTGACTTGGATTTATTGTTTCCCAGGAACATCAAACTGTTAATGGGGGACAGTAATTTGTCTGCACATGTATATGTAAAATGTTAAGGCATGCTTTGAAGAATGCTAATTAACATCTATGGTAGAAGGAGCTCGTTTTCCACGAGAATGATGAGATGTGGTGATCAGCCCACGAAATATCGCAAGGAAGTGGAATAAGGGGAATTCTGCGTCGTATTTTATTAATTTTATAATGTCGCCATGTTTGAAGATTTTGGTATATATCCTCCTTCTCAAAAAACATAAATAATAAGCTTAAAATTTTTAGAAGAATCTAACTTTTTTTAATATTTAAATCCCACTGAGATATTTTGAGAAAATTGTGGAAGCTTAGTAAATATAAAAAAGTTGAAAGAATAAAAAAATCACAATCAAACTCAAAAAGAGCTGCACTGTTTATAATCAATAAATAATACAATCAATTACAAAATTTATATTTTATATTGATTTAATTGCTTTCGAGTGATAGCACAAACCATTTTTATTATTAAACCTTGAATTATAAAACGTTTGAGATGATTAAAGAAATCAGAATAAAGTTGATAATGTTTCGGCCAACGGATAATACTAATAAAGTAGAAATTGACAATCCCAATCAAGTTATAGAAAGTACTTGAAAACATCTAGGTAGCAAAGTTAGTTTTGTGGTATCCTGCTTCTAGACGGCTCGTGTATCAAATTTCAAAGACACAGTATCAAATTTCAAAGACACAGTGGTCACCTAGGCAGCGCCACTTTCCTGACATAATTTACATTTGAAACATTGTCAAAATCTTATCATTACAGAGTCAATCTGATTGATAATTTAGATGCACCCAATCAAACTAACAATTGAATGTCAAATGTAAACAAAACAAGGTCTTATTATACGACAACAACTTGATTAAGATTAGTCTTACCACCCAGCTAAAGTATATATTTCCAGTTAATCAGATTTCTCATCATATGCGGAGCAATCTCTACATCTGGAGTCAAGGGTTTAATGAAGTCCTGGGTCCCTATTCTTCCTGAAAGTGAAGGAAAAGGACAATTGGATAGGGAAAATTCAACCTGAAATTTGCAACATCACTGAAAAAATTAATTGAGGAACTAAGAGTATTTAAGTATTTAATTGGGTTAAGGACTTAATTGAGGATCGGACTGTGATCGAGGGTTACTTCCATTTCTACACTCTACAGGTAAACATGTCGATCTACTCCTTTTTTCTAGCTTTGTTAATGAGCATTTAAGGTTAAGTCCTCCTTTTTAGGGACACCCAACCCTTGGGTTCAAATTATATGTTTGTTTTGATGATGATAAGCATGGTAGGATGATTATGTCCGAAAGCTTAGACGTTGTTGGGTGATTTTAGGGATGATTTGAGAATGTAAAGACTAAATAAGTGATTAATTAGTGTAATGGTGATGATTATGACTATGTTTAAGGTTTTCTAAATGAGTGTGATAGCTTTAGGTTAATTAGATTAATAAACCTAATCTTAGGATTAGGGTGTAATTAGTGTGTAAGCACTTGTATTAGTGATAATTAGCGTTGTGTTAATGATACAATTAATATTGTATTGTGTGTAGATCATGGTGTTGCATGGCACCGTTAGAGGTGATAATTCACAAATATGAAGAAATTTACTTGCTTAAGGCAAAGGTAACATTACCAATTTGTTATGATGTTTGCCTTGTGATAGACTGTGTGCATGTTTTGTTGAAGATAAATGCTATATGGCAAATATTGTGTTTGGAAACATATATTTTTGTTTGGAAAGTTATTGCCAAGTAGGATGAAATTATACATATAATTGTATGCATTATAAAACATCGTGTTTAGAAGCATGAGAATTGTTTGGAGACATTTTTCTTATTTGGACACACACACACACACAATTCGTATGACTTGTTGGGTTTCAAAGGTAGGGGTTTTTGTTATAAGATTACCTATCATATGGTATGCGTTCATTGGACTTAATGAGTAGCTAATATCTTGAACTAACGTACCTTTGGCTTGAGTGGGTTGGATTTCAGGCATAGTGTATGGAGAGAAATAAAGTGCAGTCATGCATTTTCTTGTTAGGTTGTTTGGTTAATTTGTAGTTGAAAATGTTTTATATATCCCATTGAGCAATATGATTTGTTGCATTGCATGCATTATAACATCTTGATATTAGTTAATGGGACCTTATCTCATTTCTAGTGGTTAACCTTTTCATAGGGAAGAGTCAAGTTGGAGAAGCACCAGAGTTGTAATTTGGTGTGTATGGACACCAGTATATTTAGTTAGGCCTCTTTTCATATGGGTTATGTATTTTGCCAATTGTTGGATATAAATTGTGTAAACGAGCATTTGAATCTCTACTTTTGTTCAAACTCATATTTGATTGTTATGAGTTAGTTTTGATGTTCATATTTTGAAGTGTTTAAATGACTTACAATATGTTTAAAGTAAAAGATTAATGTATGTTCATTTATGTTGGTTTTTTATATTAATTGTATTGGACGACTGATACTTAATATTGAGAATTTAGATTGTTTGAATATTTGTGTGAGCTTAAATTTGTTGTTTAGAATGTATGGGATGTAGTCAAGTGTCCTACACAATGATTATTGGCTTTGAGTTTAATTTGAGATGTTATAAGTATTTGGAAATTGTATTTTGGACCTATTATGGGTTTTCATAGATAAAATTCTCATGCAGAGAAATTTTATTCCAAACTAAAGTCAGTAACTAAATTATTTAATAAGCTTCATATAATTACTTAAATAACTTAATTTGGATATTTTTAGAGAAAGTTATGCCTATTTAAGTTTCACTGTCATTATTCATATTGTCAAATTGCTATTAGGTACTGAGCATTGCGACACATGTGTTGTTGGCTTCAGTGCATGGCATGGGGGGAATATCTTTTATGTCATGTGCTATAGTGCATTATGTGCCTAGATAGATTTGCCCCTATTCTTTTTTTGATTTACAAAATGGTCATTTTGATATTTTTATTCTCTTCTAAACTTGTTTTAGACAATTTTAGTCCTTGGGAACTATGCTTTTATACTAAATGAGTTTGGTAACTTCTTTTATGATTTAAAAGGGCTGTTTTCAATGGGATCCCATTTGGTATGAAATTATTTAACTTATTTTCTTCCTAAATTATTATGGTAGGTATATTTTACTATGGTAAATCCCTTTTTACCATGGTAGTTGACTTTGAGATCTCTTTTTATTGTAAGAGAAATCCTTTTCTACAATCATAAGTTTTTATTAAGATTGTTTGAATCTTAATTATCATGGTAGTTTCTTTTCTATTATTGTAAGGTTTTTGAAATACTACCTTTGTTCTTTCCATCAGAGAAAACTTTTAATTACCATGATACTGTTTTGAAAAGTAGACCTTTCCTCTTATTACCATGGTTGACTTTCATGGAAAGTATTTGAAAGATCGCATTTGGAATTAAGTACCTTTTTGAAAGGAAAACTTGATTTAAAAATTTAGTGTTACAAAATCTCTCTAATCAAAGCAATGATTGACTAACAGGTATATTCTAAAGAAATGATGATGAAGTAATTCATTTGAAGTACTTGTTAGATTCCATGAATTGGAATTCTTCTTAAGTATATGAATTGCATTGAGAAGGTTCTGATTAGTCATATGTAGTTATGACAGTTCAATGTCTATCTGAACCTTGATTGAAGAGATTATGGGCGATTGATAAGAACAAGTGTATTCTAAAGAAATGATTATCATATAGAGACAGTATTACTGAAATAGAGTCCTTGTCCTTTTACAATTAGTGGATGACTTCAAACATTCAGTTATTTAATAACAAAGGAATACCAAGAAGAACAAAGTCCAAAACCTGTGTTGCAGTTTCACCTGCTTAATTTAATCAACCTATTAGTCATGGATGAGTTATTGATTGAATGATACAGCTCATAAAAGTCTTGCAATTACAAGTGACCCGTGACTGAGTTCATGAGTGTGATTAGCTCGCAGGAATGTGGCACTTCAAGGGTTGCTCACAGTTCATAGTTATTCGTCTTGTGCTTTCGTTAAGAATTTGTACACTTGAGCCGAATACATCCGAATGGTTTTAATATGTACACTTATTTTCACTATCTTGGAAAAGGATAGGTGATAGATTCATCATCCAAGGAATATGTCTCAGACAAACAATGCAAGTCCCCATAAATTTGAGCTGGTAGCGTATATGTTTCACTCTGACTAGGCACTTCCGTTTCAAAACACTTTTTTAGCTCAGATAACACACAACTCATTGTAGGTCTATGAATAGAGGCTGGTGCAGTACATGCCATTGCTACTCCTAAAGCCTTCCACACAGAACATGCATTGTATTTACCTTGCAGCTTTGGATCTACAATTTTGCTCAAATCTCCTCTTCGAAGCTCAGGTCTTAACCAGTCAAGTATGTGAACTGATTCCTTTCCCTTTAATACAACAGATTGACCTGTAATTAGCTCCAACAGAACAATTCCAAAGCTATAGATGTCACTTTTCTCGTTCAACCTCCTTGATTTGTAGTATCTGAACAAACAAACAACAACATTGCTGGTGACAATTGGCATAACCATCAGAGAATGAAAATGAGCCCAAATGAAGATTAAAGGTTTACTCTGGATCAAGGTACCCTTTGGTGCCCATAACAGTAGGCTCTGCATTTCCTTGATCACTTGCACTCATTGAAGATCCTACGCCTCTAGTTTCATTCTCAAATACTTTGGAGAGGCCAAAATCTGCTATCTTAGCTTCCAACTTTTCACCTAGAAGAATATTGGCCGTCTTCACATCTCTATGTATTATAGGTGGCTTGCATCCATGATGTAAATACTCCAATCCTACGAGTCAAAAAAACATCATAATCATCAAATATTGAACGTACAAGGGAGCTATTGGCTTCCTCCCGAATGAAGATTACACACACACACACACACACACTCTTACCCTGTGCAGCGTCAATTGCTATCTGAAGTCTCCTTCCCCAACTCAAGCAACGTGAATTTCTTGCTGCATATGTAACCAAAGGATGGTCTTTTCAGTAGTTGATGTCATAAAGGTAGAAATAAAACAAAAAGTAGAGTGTACCTGAAAGATAGTTTTTGAGATTTCCATTTGCCATATACTCATATATGAGTGCCATTTTTCTTCCATCATCGCAATAACCAATGAAGGCAACCAAATTTTTGTGATGGACTGTCATCAAAAGCTCAGCCTGCAAGCCAGGATGATTTTCTGTTGATGGTTCTGTCTTGTGTTAAAAAGCACTTCCATTTTCTGGAAAGTCAAGTCCGAATCATAACACAAGAAATTAATGTTTACCTCCGTCTGAAATTCCCTTGGCCCTTGAGATGATGATGGAGAAAGAATCTTTACTGCTACTTGGCTCCCATCTTTCATCTGACCACGGTACACAATCCCAAATCCCCCCTTCCCAATGATAATTTTAAAGTTGCTGGTGATGCCCCATACATCTGCATAACTATATTGCCACTTCTTTGATGCCACAAGTGTTCCTTCTTTGTCGGGATTACTAGTCTCCTTATCTTAGGTTCAAAAGGAATACTAACATGAGACTATATATATATATATATATATCTAGAGACCCTATTTAGCTTAGAAATCAGATGTTAGGAGTTATCTTTCCAGCAAATAAAGCAGTACCTGATTGCATAATTCTTCTAACTTTCCTGATTATAATAAAAGCAATCAGCAAAACTAGAAGCGATGATATAGTAGCAACTATGGGAACAAATACATTTAGCTTCTTCTCGCACTTATCTGAGCCACAAAGATTCTGGGCATCCACACTGAAAATTGTGAAAAAAATGAAGTCTGTTTCAGGTCATATATATCATGTCTTAATTGGTTTTGATGATATCTCTTTGCAGCTTTAGATGCTTCACACTTACAGCCTCACTCTCTCTTCAGTGATTTCTGTTAGCTTCAGGGAAAATAAAAGAAAGTAAACTTCTCTAGATCTTTAATAGCAATTAGCGAGGCGTACCTCAGTTTAAGCAATCCTGCCCTTGATTTCTTCAGAAGAGCTGTAGGGACAAAACCTGATAGTTGGTTGCCTTTCAAATTCCTACAAATAATTTATTTTTTTCTTCAACCCCATGCTTTAAAAGGGCCATGTGCATGTACCACCGAAATGTTAGGACTTACAAAATTTTAAGAGACCTCATTTCAACCAGAAACTTCGGAATTGATCCAGATAAGCTGTTGTTCGATAAATCCCTGAGGTAAAAAAGGTTCTTTCAGTGATAGCATGTACAACGAGAAAAAAGCTACCTTATGTCAGAGGCATGATGGTGAGATGATCAAGATCAGTTAAACTTCTACTTACAATGCTTCAAGTGACAAGAGGTTGCAGATGGCAGAAGCAATCACCCCAGTCAAACTGCTTGAGCTCAGATTCCTATCAAAATAAGTCTCTCCCTTCTAAAATTTGAATCAAATAAAGGTTGTACCTCTCTATGAAATCAGAATTCCTAGAATGGGACAACATAAATATATACTCACAGAGATACAATTCGTGGAGGATGTGAACTGCTATAGTTGCATGTTAAGCCTTCCCAAGTGTAGTTCTTTGGCTCACACGGATCACCCTGCCAGTTTCTTTGAATTCCATATGCATTTTTGATACCCATCATAGCATTTACTGTGTTTTCTTATTCAGGAATGAACGGTAGGTTATACAACAAAACATTTGCGTTGCAACTGAAATTTCAAGTCAAGAAAAACAAATCATACCATCTTTCTCAAGTGTTGGAAAAGCATCCAGCATTCTGACTTCAAATATCTCAACTGCATTAAGGATGGGTGGAAGGGTTGAATCTTCAGTTCTATGAAGAGAAAGTCGATGTTCATTTCCCATCAAGGGCTTCAAATTTGACGCTGTGGTTGAAACTAAGTAGCTTGGGACCAAGGGTCCAAACAATGAATGTCCATTCCAGGATATCCTGAATTTCCTTAGTTCGTTAATCTCAAGCTGTTTCACCTCAGCAAAATACAAGTAGACATAGAATTTTAAATTTGGATCATTTGGTGTCCAAGAGAATTCTAAAGGAACACTAAAATTCTTGGGTCTGGCAGCAGTTCTCATCACTTCAGATGGAGCTCTATAACCATTTTTATTGCCATTTATAGCATGAGAAGTGCTGACAGAATCCCAGGAAGATGAGTCATATGGGTGCCAAATTCTGTCATACATGTCATCTTCATATCTACCACTACCATCAGTTTCTCCAAGGTCCCATCTTTTGAAAAGTAACAGTGAAGCAGATGCTCCAAATTCTGTATTATAAATAGAGCTATTGAGTGGTCTTAGTTCTAATGCTGAGATAAAAGGAATTCCCAGTCCCTTGTTCACAAGACAAACATTCGTCACCTCTGATTCTGCCATGCTGATAATTTCCAGTATAACTTGCTCTGAAGCATTCTTGAAAGTCACAGAGGACCAGAAATTGACACCGATATAGAGATCAAATTCTGGAAGCCTGTTTTTTCCATCATAATTTCCATACAAAAAATAGGCCCTTATCAAATGTAAGCTTCCTCTTCTTCCAGTTCTTAAGGTGTAACAATTTTTGTTTCCCCGAGGAAAACTTCTGAGATCTGACATTGGTAATGGTAGATTGGGATTGTTTGGATATGAGTATTCAACTGATATGTTTTTGTTGATCCCTGTTTGTATGTAGGCTCCATCTGCGCTGTACTTTATTTGATCGCTATCATCTGTATACTCAAAATTCTCTGGACCTCCACAATCAATACTGATGAAGCCTGATCAGAGAGTTAAATCAAATTAGCCTCAGAAAAACAAGGTTTTAATTATTTGGTATGAATAGAAAAACTCAAACATAAAATGAACAAGGGCAAGGATCGAGGACAACCCTTGAGTAAAATATTGCATGTGATAAATTCATTACGAGAAGTTGCAGAAAAAAAGGCAACATGAATCTTTTAAATGCAGCACTACATGTTATCGCTGGGAGGGCTAACCTGTCTGTTGCTGTCCGAGAATTGGAACCATAAGAACAAGATGAAGCATCATCATCAAGGAGATGAATCTGATCGACATTGTCATGTCTGAATGAAAAAAGAGCCTTGTCTGGTTTAAGAAGATTTCATATCTTATCAAGTGCTATTGTTATGCAAAGTCAAAATAAAATGAAACCTATCTTATCAAGTTGATGTCTAGGTGGTTATGGCAGCCTCAGCCCCATAAAAAAGTGGACATATAGTGAGATCATTAATCTTTATTAAATGTGGATAGCAGAGTTTTCATAGATGAGAAGGATTTAATTTAATTACCACAAAAAGATAATAAGATGGATGGTGAAATCAGCAAAGCTGGAGAATAGGAAAAGGGGAAGTCAGCTTGCACTAATTGGTGCTGAATCACCTACTTGGTGATTCTGCAATTTGATTATCACAAAAATGGTTATATTAATTGGCAACTGGCTATATTAAAAAGAGAAGCAAACTAGAACAAGTTATCCTAGGAATGTCAGACAACCAATTAGCTAAGATGTTAATTAGTAGGTCTTATTCAGCTTTTCAGGCTTATATATAACTCACTGCTGTCTGCTCCACCCTGTATGATGGCATTCTAAAATAAAAATTGATCCCAAATTATAAGGTGTTTAGTATAAATAGGCAATTATATTTTATTTTTACTTCTATAATATTTTTAATAATTTTCTACTTGAGTAAGGCATATTCCCTTTAATTAATAACTGTATCAATAATTGGTGTATTGGGAAGTTTTTGAATAAATAAAGTAATTTAACAACTTTTTTTTTTATTTTGTGTTAAAAATGTCTGAAACACTAAACTTGTATAAGGAACTAGAAAGATTATATGTATATTCCATCCAGTTTTATATATAGAGTGCCTTCTAAAAGATAGAATAGGTCTATTGTGTCAAAACAACCTATGAAAGGGAGTAGAGATGAAATTTGATTAAACATGACAGAGTGACCTTCGATTTAGAATGGTCAAGCAAAGCCAAAGCCATTTAATTTTTACTAACAATTTTCTGTTCCAAGCAACGATGGGTTAGTTGGGTTTTGAATAAGTATCGGCGATGCCGTAACCTCTACCATTCTTCTTCTCGTTGTCTTGTTCTTCTGTTTATGTATTCATTATTCATTAATCTTCGCAATCATGTGACTAGACCCTTGCAAGTTTATAATCAATACATGTTTCTGTTTGGTTTGCCGTCTTATTCCAAGTGATTAATGATTAATAGGCTAAATATAAATTATTAAATGCTAATATTCTTTGCCATTGTCATTTTCTTGTGATCATGCGTCAAATTAAATTCACATTATTCAAGGGAGCTTTAAAGCAGATTTAGTTCGAAATTCTATTTGTCTGTGTTGACTGTAGAGTTGATGCTGAATTAGTCAGGCTTTTCAATATAATTTTTCCTCGACGCCTTCAAGATTCAGAAGTTAGAACAACACACAAGTCACGAGCAAGTCAAGAATGTTCTTAGGGTTTTCAAACAAGCAAATAAGGTATTTAGCCATTCGAGGAGTATAATGTACAGTCTTCATATGATGTAAGGCAAACATTAAATAGATTAACGAAAAACGCTTAACTATTAATTCAAATAAAATATGTAGAGTAGATTGAAATATTGCTTGGGGTTTATAATTTCACATGGAAGAGAGAGAAGAGCGATCAAACTTGATCAAATCCAGGATATGTCAATTTCAGTCATGAGAATGATATACAAGATGAATGACATTGAGAGATTATACCAGCAAAAACTTGATTCCACTTAAAAGAAATTCTACCCTTTTAAACTAAAGATTCCATCTAAATCACTTGGAATCATTGACTTTTAGATACTGGGGAGTTTCGCTTGAATGAAAGAATATTGATAACTCTTTCTTTGTTCTAAAGAAAATTAGTTGAAATTTATTTTTTTTAAAATTCTATCTTTTTAATCATATGCTGATTGAATGCCCTATATAAATATTTTAATAATAATAATAATTAAAATTTTAATGAATTTTCTAAACAAATAATAAATAAAGCAGGTACAATTAAAAAATTATCTAATATCAGTCAAAAATATTTTATATTATAAACCTTGAAAAAATATTTACTTTGATTTAATAGAGAATATATTGAATATCAAAAAAAATTGAACACTAACAAGTTTTCAAATCTCTCAGTTGTCCTAGTCCTTGCTAACACTTAACTTTAGTATTAATACTAATACTAAGATAATGTTTAAGAGTTTTTTTAAAATAAAATAAAATGGAATATGATGATTAGAAAGCTTATATCATTATTTAAAAAAAAATTTAAAAGAAAATGAAATGGCTTGGGATGACTTTTCAAGCCATCCCTCACCATCTTAAGCTCATTTTTTTAAGAAATGAATTGATATGATATAAATAATATTTTTATAAAATTATCTTTATCTTTCTTCCTTCCTGTCACTCTTTCACTCCCTCTTGCTTCAAAGTTTTTAAAAAATATAATTACATCTTATTCAAATCTATTAATTTTATTGTTATTCTTATATAATAATTAAATAAAATTATTTATTTTTTTAATGAAACTCTCAAATAAAAATAATAAAATATTTTATTTTATTTTGCTCTTTCCCACCTCACCATATTCTATTCCATCGTTCATTTTCGTTCCATCATACTATACTGTCAAACAAACCCTAAAAGTACTCCTTTTCCCGCCAAAGAGAAATTGACTGCCGCACGGAAACCGCGCTTCTGGAATCTTCCTTCAATTCTTAACTCTTCAACATTCCACCTCCACCGCCGACCGTCGGTTCGCTGCTCGCTGACCACCGTCGCAATGGTGACTTCATTTCTCCCTAAATCGGAATTTTATTTGTTATTTTCGTTATCCCAGTCTTCAATCATCCCTATCTGTAGCTTCCCCCCCCCTCTGACTGATCTTATCGTTTCCCAGTAGCTTTTTTCTTTAGCAGGATTTGATATCATATATTTGAAATCATTGGGAATTTGGTTTGTTCAGGAGTTGAATCTTGAGCGCCCTTTTCTCATTTTGTTCCTTTTTCGTTTTCTTCATTGAATATCTGGATTCATTCTAATGGGAGTTCGTAAAAATGCCGAATTAGCTACCAAAAGAAAAATTGGTATATGGAATACCAAATTGTTTTCTTGCGTGTTCAATTGGTGATTTTACGATTGTAATTGTGGCTCTCTCGCATGTTTGAGAAAATGATGCTTTCTTCTGGCAAGGTGTTTCTGTTTTCCTTATGACTGATCGATTGTTTGTCATTTTTTTGGTCTTGCGATGGATTGATTCGTTTTTGCTTACGGTGCAGTCGAAGAAAAGAGGTCTTTCATTGGAAGAGAAGCGTGAGAAGATGCTCCAAATCTTTTACGAGTCACAAGACTTCTTCCTGGTTAGTTTCCCGTGTAACTTTCTAGTTGCGAGCCTCATTTCATTCACTACTGCATTTTTTGTTTGTTATTATCAAATGACTAATTTTATATATATATATATATATATATATTGGTTATTTGTAGCTTAAGGAGCTTGAGAAGTTAGGTCCCAAGAAAGGTGTCATCACTCAGTCCGTGAAGGATGTCATCCAAAGTTTAGTGGACGATGACCTTGTTTCAAAAGATAAGATAGGAACTTCTGTAAGTTAACATCTACAAATGGAGGCTCAATAACGTAGTTTTCTTTTTTCACCCACCCAATTCGCTCGGTCCTTTGTTTTATTATAGTTAGGGCCATCAGATGCTTGTCCCACTCACAACACTTGACGAACGGAAATTTTAAATTGTCTTTGACACTCGGATAGATTACTCTCACGGATTACTTTGACGTGATTGATCTCATATTTTGGCTGTCAGGTATACTTTTGGAGTCTTCCAAGCTGTGCAGGAAATCAGGTGAAGCTCTGATGACGAAGCGACATTATGCTGTTTATTTTTGGTTAATAACTTGGTTACTACTCTCCAGATTATTTGGCTGTAACTTGATTACAACATTAAAAAAATTTTGTATAGCTTAGGAATGTTCACCACAAACTTGAATCTGAACTAAAAAGCAACAAGAAGCGGTACGTTGAGCTTGCTAATCAATGTGAGGGGCTAAAGGAGGGACGAGAGGAATCTGTGAGTTATGATTAATCATCCCTTGCTAGAGTATCATTTGCCTGTCGCTCCACTACTAGAGTGTCCATTGTATCTTCACCAGGACGAGCGAGAGGAGGCCTTAGCAGATCTTAAAGCCATTGAGCTGAAGCATAATGAGTTGAAGGTTGATTTGCAGTTTATTTGCTCACACTGCATTAAGTATGATCATAATTTAATGAAATCCATGACCACAATAAGCTAATATTTGATATTTTCAGGAAGAGTTGGGGAAGTATGCAGACAATGATCCAGCTGCCATTGAAGCAATGAGTTAAGAATTGTTCATTTGTTGCTTTAATTGTAAACATTTAGAAGTTAATCCTTATAACTTGTGATGGTTTTCGTGTTGATCACTGATGATCTAATATCGATATTTGAAGAGGAAGCAATTGAAGTTGCCCATGCAGCAGCCAACAGATGGACAGGTTCTGCTTTGTGTTTTTTTTCCCCCTTTTTCCTCCCCCCCCCCCCCAAAGTGAATTGGGTTTACTCAGGGAGGAGGTCTGGTTTCACGAAATGTCAGTCTCAGTTGTGCTCTGAATCATGGTGGCTAAAAAAATATGTGCAGACAACATTTTCACCCTGAAGCAATGGTGTTCAAACAACTTCCCCCAGGCCAAGGAGCAGCTTGAAAACATGTATAAGGAGGTCAGTTTTTTATGCCTCCGTTTGCAATTCTTGGTGCTTAAACCCTCCGTTAAGTTGTTAGCCTTTGACACTATGCAATGGATTTCTTTTGGCTGCCGTAGTTACTTGAGAATGAGATTGAGATCAATATCCTGATACATATCGTAGCTAGAACATAGCCATCCTTGAGGCCAGTTTGGTTGCTTACCCACTTTTCCTTTTCTCATGTCTCATGCCTTGCACCTTAAATCTTAATGCAGATTGGTATAACAGATGATTTTGACTATTTGGAGTTAGCACCTCTTCCCCTCAGGGCTGTTGGTGATTTGGAACTTTGAGGCGAGATGAAGGCCGTGTCTCTCTTAGTTGCTGATCTTAATAAAGTAAAGCTGATTATGATTATTTCCCATGACATCATCAAACAAAGAACAGTGGCATGTTATTTTCTTTTCCCCACTTCCCTAACTTGATCAAAGTCCTCAGGGATAGCAAAATTAGCTGAAAAAAACATCAGGTTTTACGAATATACAAGATTTAAGATTTACCTGAAGTGTTTATTATGCTTACCTAATAGAATTTACTGTACTGTTATTGTCCCCTTTTTCTGCGGTCGCCACTTTGACGGAGGTTTACGCGCTTCCTACTTGGAGAACGCGGTTTGTTTATTCAGAGGAAAAAATTGCGTGTTCTAAGGGCCTGAGTTTTGGCAAAAAAAAAAAAAAAGGGCCTGAGTTTACAAGTCTGAGTGGGGTTTTAAATCCAATAGTGCCCAGAAACTTTTTGTTCGATCCTCTAGTCATGATAATTAGTTAATTACCACAGGCATCCATTTCTGAAGTCTATGAAGACATGACAAATTCAGTTAATCATAACTTTCTCTGAAAGATGACAACCATATTGCTCTGCTAATTTATCCTCGTACTCTTGGAGCGACAAGTGGGAGAGCTGAGTTTTGTTCTTACCGAGAGATTTCTGTCGTAATATTATATTAATTAGCAAAGCAGTGTGGTTTTAACATGTATTAAGGAATTCAGTTAAAATTAGTCAACTAATTATCAGCTCTTAATTAGAAAGCCTGGTTGTTACATTTTGGCTGCTGTCATGCGAGTAGGTTGTTTGTATGAGCAGCTCATTTGTGGTTCTCTGCGCTCTTGTAAGAATCTATTGACATGTGTTAAGGAGTTCAGTGAAAATTAGTCAATGCTATTAAAATTTTATATTTGCCTTCAATAAAGTTCAATTAAATGAGACTGTTTAATTAGTTAGGAATATCAATGCAAAATATATTTAACAAATTAATGTTTTGGACAAAATCTCTTGTATGAAGAAATAAAAGAAATTGTCTTGTGATAACAATCAGATGATGTAATTATTGAACATATTCCTTGCTTGCGAACTGGTTTTCTGACTTGGCCACATGACTGTTGGTCAACATGCAGGCAACCAAAACTTTGTCGCTTCTCATTGTTTCTTTCATATTTTTTGCCCGTATGACTTTGTCATTCTGGTTGCTTTGGCGCCCAAAAAACAATTCTGCAAGAGGCGCATTGTCCGGCAAATGGTGCCAGCAAAACAAGAAGTTTATGACAATATGAGTCATTAGACATCGTTGCCTTTTTTTAATTTTTTTTTGTGGGGTTAGTTTAATACATTTGTACGTGGTCCCTCTGACAGCGGACTACATGTATTTAGATCTTCTCATTATAAGAAAAATGTAAAAAGATGAACCTTGATCTTGTGCGAATTGTAATGCCATGGAAAAACGCATGCAAACCTATGATCTTTTCATTATATTATATGTACTATGATATAGTTTAAATGAATTTTATTAATTTAAGTTCTCTTGACACTAGTTGAATATTTGAATTTCAATATTTATCAACGTATATAAAAATTTAGTTAAGAAAAATTTATTATTTATTCTAAGTAAAGCTTAAGCTTGTAATTAAGCTTGTTTAGCTAAATCTTGGCCTAATTGCTATATTTTCACCCTATTTTTGATGCAGAATTAGCAACCGCTTTTTAATACTACTACTCTCTCTCTCTCTCTCCCCTTAATTATCATATATAACTTTTTTAAAAATTTCATTTTCAATAGGATTTATATATCTTTCTCAATTATACTTTTTATTATATTTCACTTAAATAATTATAAAGATGTTTTGAATAAGTTAAATATTATTTTTTTTTCTATTCAAGATCAATAGTATGATTGATTTGATGTAAATTCTTTTTAAAAAAATTTAGCTTTTAACCAATTTTTTAAAAACATAAATTAGTTAACAATCATTTCTATTGTAGTGTGGATAGAGTACTTTTATTATAGATGAGTTGTATCTGCGGCCCCATGAGAGAAGAGTTTCTCCATTTCTTTATCCATTTATATTATTTTGTTAAATAATTTAAAATTATAGAATTAATAAATAGTTAAAATGGAAGAAATGAAGATAAAAAAATAGAAAGACCCTCCACCCGTGGATCCATGGAGGAGAGGAGTTTCTTTATTTTTTTTTTTCCATTTCTTCCCTTTTCACCATTCAATAATTTTATTATTTAAAAAAATTATTTAATAAAATAATTTGAATAATGAAGATGGAAAAAATAAAAAAATAAATAAATGGAGAGATTCTTCTCTCGGGCCCATGGCATGGAAAGCGCCGTCCAAGGTAACGGTTCAGTTCAATCATGTCTCGAAGTTTGAGGAGGTGGAAAGATTTAAAATTTCATGGTTCAACCGAATCAGTCCTCTATATATTAATATATAGAGGAGCACTTATTTAATTATTCAAATTTGATATATTGAATCGAAGCACTGTCCATATCAGTGGCCCAGGCCTCTTTCTGTACCACAGCTCGAAATTTCTGGACTCTGTAACATGCCCGCAATCTCATCTCTACACCTGTCATCAATCAACTCTTATTCATGGGTCCTACCCATTTCATGTTGCTTCTCTTTTTCTTGTTTCCCCCCTTTCTTAGTTGCCAGCCAGAGTGTCTTCTTCGTCCAAAGATTCTTCTCTCGATGCAAAAAAAGCTTCGCCCTCCTTCTCTTCCTCTTGCAACCTGCTTATATATGCTTGCTCTCTCTCCCATCACAGCTCATTCTTGTTCTCAATTCCTCTCAAACGCAGAACAGCACAGAGGGTCAGAACTTGATATCAAATAACAATGGAGGTTCTTGCATTTAGACTTCAATATTTCTTGATGGCCGTTTTCGCTCTTGCTTTGCTTTTTGTGGTGCCAACCATCAATGCTCAGAGCCCTGCTCCAGCGCCACCTCCCACAAGTGATGGTACTTTTTATGCCTCTCATCACTTGTTTGTATTTCTTCTGTGTCTTTGATTCTTTGTTGCGGTTGCTTCAATGGTCTGATAAGACTTTTTCTTTTTTTTTCTTCCCCTAAATGTTGTTTGCCTGACAGGGATGGCGATCGATCAAGGGATTGCTTACGTGCTAATGCTAGTGGCACTGCTTCTTACTTACATCATTCATTAAGCCTTAGGAAATAAAAAAAGGCAGGCCTGGATTTGCGAATTTGTATATGGATCGTGTTCTAGTTTTGGTTCTCTTTTTCTGTTTATATGCTGAAGCTATGTACCTTTTAATGAAATTCTTTGATTTCATGCATTCCTTAACCTCTCTGTCCAAAGTTACAGCTAATTCTTTACGTCTATTGCTTGAAGTATGAGTGGTCTGCTCTGTTTTGCTTGCTCCAGCCGCTATTTACTTGACAGACTCTAGACTCCTATGCTCTTGAAAGATTTCTTTTCTTTGTTTTTTTAATGAAAATGATGCACTATATTCATGGAGGAAAAAACATACAAAAAAGGTGGAGAAAATTTACTCATCACTGTCTTAAGTCCGGAGCCCTTATACAAAAAATGAGGGGCTCGCTGGAAGATACAAAAAGAATTGGTTGAAAGCATGAAGAGAAACGACTTTCATCGTTATTTATTTATTTATTTTTTTTTTTGTTTTCCGGGTTTGATGAACACAAATCTCGTAGAATAAATGATAAGTAAAACGAAATTTGATCTTTTAGCAACCGTGCCTCGTATTTCGCCTTTCTCTCTCTCTGGGGTTTGTTAAGAGGATCAATTCTCTACTTGATCATTCACCTAAGCAGCTTGCAATTTACATTGCCAAGAGAGAACAGCAGTTTTTTACCCGACATCAAAGCTAACTTCTTCAAAACTAAGTCTTAAAAATAATAATAATAATAATAATAAGGAATACTACCTCTGGGAGGTCCATTGCTGCTCGTTTGGACGCATGAAAGCCGTTGGGACTTTCGATCTCTCCCATTATTTGAAGTTGCTGTCCTGTGTTCTGTCCACCATGTGATAGTAAAACTGGTTTTATTACAAGTCCACAATGGCCCAGAGCCCCCTTGAGTCCTTTCAGTTGCTTGTAGCTCATTTTTGTAAATTTATAAACAAGAACTACAATAATATCAGCTGCAAGAGCTCCTTTCGATTTCAAGTGATGAGCGCGGTGTTTATATAAAGCATACTCTTTTGGTCTTATTCATCGGGAAAAAAGATAATATTAATTTTGGTTCTACTTATATAACACTTTATTATTTTCTATATTCATATTTATTTTTCTATTTTTATTAAATGCTAGTAAAAATTAATAAAAATAATTCTTTTTGTCCTTATAAAAGGATGAAAGTAAAAACTTATTAAATTTCAAGAAAGAATTAATAAAATTTAAATTCTTTTTAATTTTGATATAATATATTAAAAATAATTTATAAATAAAATTAGAAGGAGTACAATCATATAAAGAAAAGGAAAGTAGGGAACCATGGGGCAAACTACTTGGCGAACTACCATATTCCCATGCACCTCGGCTGTCATTTTATTAATGAAGCTCTTATGGGGCTATTCCACATCGCCCATCCTCGTAAAGGATTAGAACAACCTTGAGATTTTGTAGATTCTTTCTTGGGAAAATTATTTTAATTTTTACTCAAAATAATTAATTACTTACAGGTTCATTGACAATTGAGCTTAGAAGAATAACAATAATAGACTTGAAAGTAATTAATTTTTTTGAGTAATGTAACATCTTGATTTTTTATATAATAAAGAAATTGTGGAATTTAGGTTTTGAGAAAAAAAAAAATGATAATAATAGGAATTTATATTATTTGAGGTTATTTAAAAATAATATTATGGTTAGGTATTTAATTATGAATTTAAAAATTTAAATTTAAAACCACATAAGTAATATTTAGTCAAGATATAATACATAAATAATTTTTTTTATGTATGTGTTGAAAAAAAAAGAGAAGGTAGAAGGAACAAAAAAAAAGGGTGGAAGGTTGTTGTTTCTAAGTCCCACATTGGTTAGATGAGGGAAGAGAAGAGGTGGCTTCATGTATAAAAAGGAGGGGATGTGTGCATTAGGAAGCATGAGAGGCTAAGATGTAATTTAGAGAAAATTACAACTTTTGGCCCAAAGGTTTGAATAATTAAATTCAAACCTATAGTTTTTTTTAATATAATTTTGGGACTCACAATCCCATTTTTATATTATTTTTCT